AAAAAATTGTAAATTCTCTGATTAAAAAAACCCCCACAATCTGCATTTTGATTAAAATGAAATACCACTATATATGTGTGTATGTGTGTGTAGATATGCATGTATGTATTAGTTTAACACAATTTTTTTTATTTATTAACAATTTTAAAGCAATTTGGAAGCTTATCAGTGACTCAATCACTATAATAAAATACATTGTAAATACCTATCAATTTTGGCATTTGATTTTGGGTTTTTTATCATGAAAAATCATAAGTCATGCCCCCTTCGCTCCCCAGGACACGAATCCAGCTGTGGTTGTTCCCCTCCCCTTCTTTGTGGCACTAAGCACCCCTGATACGCTGATGCCCTGCCCAGGCAATTGGCCATGATTCCCAAGTCACAGCCCCACAGCCCTGATGGTGCCCCTCACTCCCCACCTGCACCACCTGGCCCTGCTGATGCCCCTCACTCCCCACCTACAGCCCCCTGGCCCTGCTGGTGCCCCTCACTCCCCACCCACACCTCCATGTCAAGGCAGAGTGGGTCAGGGAAGCTCAGTGCCAACCCTGCAAGCCCTGCACTGCTATGGCAAGGTGCCCCCTTCCTGCCCAGTAGCAGCAAAAAACCCCAACTCTATGCTGCCACCCCTCTGGGCAGGCAGGGCCATCTCGCCATGGCAGTGCAGGGCTTGCAGGGCTTGCAGTCTCCTTTCCCCCTCCAGACTTACCTGCAGCGAGCTGCTCTCCAGGCTGCCTGGCGTCCGTCCATGTGCCCACATGCACATGGCACCCCCCATCTGGCTGCCCTCCTCCCACCCCCCATCCCCCTGCAGGCTCGAGCTCCCCCCATCCCCCTGCAGGCTCGAACTCTGCCAGGCTGCAAGGCGAAACCCACAATTTCCCATATTTTTCTCTTTTAAAGGAGGAAATCTGGGTTTTACTGTGTTTTTTTGTGGCAAATGGAAAACCCAGATCCCTGGTCATGAAGTCTGCAACTTTATCAAATCAAGACAGCTTGACTTACCACTGGCTAACTGAGCCATGTGCTGCACTGAATTACTGGCAAAGTGAACTACTTGAACCAGTTCAAACCTCCACATCCTTCAGGTTCAACCAATGCACAATGCTACGCAGCACTTTCTGATGTACTAGGTGTACTATACCTAATATACTTAATATATGGCCTTTGCCTTAATGCCACCTCAACCCACCTTCACTCTAAATCACATTAACAGAAATTTAGATCTATATGCTTTTCATCTGGACTTGGAAGTTACTAAGGCCCTGTCAGGTAAAGGTGCAATAGGATACAATGAATGATCCCTGGGGCTAGGGGATCGTGGGAGCCACAAACCCCCAGGCCTAGGGGTTTTATGCACTCCCCAAGCCTGAGAGATTGCAGCAGCCACAATCCCTCAGCCCTGGGGGTTTGGGGCAGCAGAGTTGGTAGCTTCTGGGGCTGACAGTCTCCCAGCCCCATCAACTGAAGGGGCTCCAAGCCACAGGGGAGACCTGGCTACCTGTGCAAATTAAAGCTCAATAACAATCAGGTATAAAGTTAGTACAAATTTTCAAGGTCTAACTTTATAGCTAGTGGGAGTTTTTTATGGCATAATAGCTACTTTGCATATGTAGCCAGTCTTAAAATGACTGCACGATTAACCAGTTAATTGTGTGATACCTGTAACATGTAGAGGGGGGGGGGGCCTAAAGAAAATGAATACAAATTAAAACAGAGGTGAATTAACTCCAGCTATGGAGCCATGGACAGAGATGTGAAGCTTGACAAAAACAATTGTACTTGCACAGTTGTATACAAACAAGCAAATGGGTCATTTGAAAGCCTGAGAGATGACAGGCTCTGCAGTAAAAGGTAGGCATTTGAAAGTGTGGCAAATTTGGTTCTGACTCTTCTGGAAGTAACTCAGTGTTGATGTGTCACATGTTTGCAACTTTTTAAAATTGAGACTTGTTACAAATTAACTCATTTATGTGCCCCTAGCCTGAGGGGCAAATAGAAACAAGAATACTGTTTTCTCGCCTCTCCTCGCATCTTGGATCTGAGTTTATTAAAGACCTTTACAGACTGCTGAATTAAACCTCTGAGGTAGGGAAGTGTTACCATTTTTATTTTACTAATGGGGAAACTGAGGTATTGTGAGCAGGGAAAGTAGTTGTCTCTAGATCAGCTAATTCCTACTCCTATGATTTTAACATTAATATTTTGTTCCTAATGGATCCTCTTGAACAAGTATTATTTTTTTTACATTGGATCAATAATGAACAGCTTTCTGTGTATTTATATTCATACTCTGAACTATAATAGCTGAAGCATTCTTTACCCAACTATATCTGTCTAATCTGTCTGCATAAGCCTTGATGAAAAGCCTTAATCAGAGCTAGCTGAGTCTTGGAAATTCCAGATGTCAGGAAATCAAATTTTGCCAAGCTCTTTGCTGCTGTTTAGTAATGAGCAGCATGGAACTGGCAAGAATCATCTAAATTTCAGTCACCAACTGTTAGGACTTCCAAGATTCATGAGTTAACAGCAGCCCTGCCATGCAAACTGTCCTACCTCATTTCATAGGCTTTAAGACATCTAAGCTAACTGACTGTCCCGGTCATCTCATTTCCAAGTGCCTGGCTCCACAGACTTCAATAGTTTAGCAGCACAGGAAGCCAGCTAGCCTGGGGCACCAGAAGCCCAAACTGATAGCTGTTCATGGAGTGGGGCTTCCCAAGAGCTCTGGACCCTGGAAGCCCTGGGTCCCCAACAGTGGGTGGTCTGGATGGGCAGGCAGCACAGACTCTGGGAACAAGTAATCCAGCTGAGTTGGTAGGAAGACAGGCAAGTTTCTATCAGAACCCCTTATAGTTCTATGATAGCTCATTAAAACAAATAGGTTTCTGTAAAACATTTTATTTTTTGGGAAAAAACGATGTTTTGTTGGAAAATTTCCAAACTACTCTAGGCCTAAATTATGATGACGATTTTATGGCCATCAAGGTGTTACCTAGGATCTGGTTCCTGAAAGAGTTCTACTTAGAGGTTGGTTACCATATTGACTCAAATTTAAGATGACCCCCCCCTCAATAATTAGATGTTATATATGGAAACATTTTTAATTTGTTATAATTTTCCAGGTATAGAATCTAATTCATAGATTCATAGATTCATAGATGTTAGGGTCGGAAGGGACCTCAATAGATCATCAAGTCCAACCCCCTGCACAGGCAGGAAAGAGGGCTGGGTTCAGATGACCCCAGCCAGATGCCCATCTAACCTCCTTTTGAAGACCCCCAGGGGGGAGGTAGGAGCCGCAGAGAGCGCCCCCTGGCATCGGGGCACTAAATGGGTAGCCTCCTGCTTAATTGACATCTTAATTGAATCAATTAACATCAAAGTCGTGGCGGGCGAGATAGGCGGGCGGTTGCCCAGAGACAGGTGGGCGGGCCATGGAGGTCGGCCCCGAGGAGGCCCCCTGTCACACTCACCAATTCCCATTTTTGCCCCCGTGATGACCTTATGGCCAGCCACAAGGTCGCCTCTCAACCTTCTCTTGAGGAGGCTGAAAAGGTCCAGGTTCTCTAGTCTCTCCTCGTAGGGCTTGGTCTGCAAGCCCTTAACCATACGAGTGGCCCTTCTCTGGACCCTCTCCAGGTTATCCGCATCCCTCTTGAAGTGCGGTGCCCAGAATTGCACGCAGTACTCCAACTGCGATCTGACCAGTGCCCAATAGAGGGGAATTATTTATTTGAGGGTGTCTTGAATTCATCCCCCACCCCCCTGCTATAGCAGAGAAAGCAGTGGCTGGGGGGTTCAGGTGCCTGGGGGGGTCAGATGACCCCCTTGCCCTCTGCCCCCCCCCCATTTCTTGCCCTTGCAACCTTCCTGCCCCCCTCACCAGCACTCCCCCACCCCCAGATCACCATGGCCTTTGCCCCTCCTCTCCCACTTCCCACAGTCTCTGCCCCTTCCCTTCATCCTCCTTACTGTCAGACACTACTGGGCTTCCTTCCCTCCGGGAGCACAGCATGTGAGAGCACGGCCCTTGCCAGCCATGCAGCAGTGTTGGCACTGATGACTGGCCAGGCAGGAGACAGAGTTTCCAGGTACTCTGCACCCAGGAGGCAATTCAGCCTCAGCCAGAGCTGAGCTGTGCCTAACAGTAAGCAGGGAAAAGCTGGAGGCAGGGAGCAGAAACTGCAGAGGGCAAGTGGAGGAGTGGGCAGGAGGCTGTTGTGGGTCTGACTCTGGCCCAGACCTGAGCTCAGGACCAGTGTCAGAGCTGCAGCAGCCATTTGCCCTTCCCCCCAACTCCACTTTGTACACAAATCTAAGATGAGGTCTTTCCCCCATCAGTCAGCATGGGGGGCATGCTGACTGATGGGGGAAAGACCTCATCTTAGATTTGAGTAGATAAAGTAATAAGTGGAAGATGCTATTTGGCAATATTTCTCAAAGACAAACATTATAAAGCTCCTTACCCTTGAGTTTTTTTCAAGGGTAAAACACTTGGCAGAATTGTATGTGCAAATACAGTGTCATTTACATCCTCACATGATGTTAGATTTGATGGAACAGAGAGAATGAGGGTTCTGGTGATTTTATAGTAATGATTATAGCTTTTTTAATAAATGCCACTTGTCCTAATTCAAATAATGCACTAAAGCCTTATGCTGGTGGGGTAACTGCTACATTTACAATTTTAGGCAATGCCATAGTTTTAGTGAATGTCACAAAACAAATACAACTGAATGGCATCCTCATTTATGGCATCTGACTTTTATATTTGCTACAGGCATTCTTTTTCCTATATGGCAATGAAACTCTTAATACTGATGATTTGATTAAGCATGTCCCTTCCTTGAACAAATATTTCTGCAGTGCTTCTAGGTTTATGCTATTTCTTATTCAAATTCTTGGCCAAATACATTTGCCCTGAGCAATATTTTTCTCTTTGTTGTAGCACTGTTAAACACTAACAGTATTAAAAACAAGAATTATTAAATACTTACCACTTGGCTTATGTCATATCCCCAAGGAAGAAAAAGAACTCCTGTGTTATATTTTTCCCAGTGTGAAACCATGAAGTTCAGCAAGGCAATGCTTAATGAGAGAAACATTTTATGTAGGAGAAAACCAGTTTGCTCATTACCACGTGAGCAAAGTGAAAAAAAATTTAAGGTGAAGATGGAAGTAGCCCAGCTATCCAACCCATGGTCAAATAACTCCCCTAAGGGGGTGCTGCAATGAGTCCTTCGAGCATGTTTCCCATCTATGGAGTCTGGAAAGGGGGAGAAAAGAAAGAAAATTAAAGACATGACCAAAAACAACCATTTTTCTCAGGTTTTTAACCTCTGTATGTATGGAGGAAAGTGTATAGAGCTTAAAGGTGCTTACTTACATTGTGAGAATCCTGCCTCCCAAAGGCTCCCCTGATATTCTCTCTCTATCTACATATTTTCTACCAATTTTCTCAGAGCCAGATTATCAGCTCTAGTAAATAGCATAGCTCTTTTGTTTACAGTAGAGTGATACAGATTTACATTGGCTGAGAAGCTGACATGGTTTCTAATTCACCCACTATTGTGTAAGGTCCTTTCTGACCTCTGACTCAAGGATCTTGTCTTAGTCTACTTCCTAAAATAGTGTGGGTAGAGCCAATGGACTGACATATTTAAAATTAGGAAATGCACAAGTATTTGCAGAAAAGAATGAGCTGAAGAAAAGCTCACAGATAAGTGGCTATTATCATGATTCAGAAAATAACATAAGTATTTTTTTAATATTGCTTGAGTGTTACTTAAAGATTCTGTAGCTAATCTTAATAATTAACTAGTGATAGTGTCTTAGCCTAATTACATTATAGAGCAATAATTTTAATACGACCACCTCTACTTACAACTAATTAAAAGAACAAAGAAGCTGTAGGTTGCATATTACTTACTTCTATGCGTTACTGAGCAGTATTATACATACTGCTGCATATATGCTTTAGCAGTCTAGACTAGAAAATTGTGGGTCCTCATTTTACGCTCCATAGGTTTTAGACATCTAACTGTTATTGTTACTACTTCAGTACTCAAAGAGGTGTTAAAAGCTGGGAGGTATACTCCATTAATATGAGACAAAAAACAAGTCTCCTAAATTGGTTTCATGCTGTCAAAAATAAATAATTTCATTAGACTGTTCTGTCTTCATCATCCTGAACAAAATTCCTTTCTCAATAGCACTACAGTGGAAATGAAATCATCTAGGGATTCATGCATAAGACAGTGCAGTGTGCAAACTAGTAAATGAAGTTGCCAATATCAAGGAAAAATATTTATTCTTTAAAATACGCTTCTAGAATACAATCAACAGACATATTTGCCTTCCTAGTACTTGAATAAACATAACTGTCCCAACTACTTTAAAAATTGTCTAACCTATATTCAAAGTGTGTAATTTTGGAGGAAAGACACCTTTTCAAAGAGAGGGATAAAAATATTGGTCCCTTAGTGTATTATTATCTAGTCATGTTTGCCACACGTGAATAGCCAAGTTAGGCTAGTAAATTGTGCAGATCATACTTCCTTATTTGTTTTCCTCTGGAGGACTGTTTTGGCTACAGGACTTAGGTCTCCAATGCTTTCATAGAATTAATCTAATAATAATAGACTAGAAAAGAAATAGAGAAATTGCATAATGCGTAAGCAAAAATCAGATCTTAACAGACCATTTGTGAGTCTTACATAAGGATCTACCAAATCTCTCAGCAAAATAAAAAAAAGGTAGTTTCAGTGTCAATTTGCAAGCACATATCACAATAATTTTGTATATTTAACGGAAGATGTATATAGTCCAAAAACATTTGTGTGTGTGTGTGTGTGTGTGTGTGTGTGTGTGTGTGTATACATTTCCATTCCTCTAGTTAAGTTGTATATTTTGATTTTGGATTTAATAAACCTTGACTTGTCTTAAAGTTTACATGACATTTAAACAGCAAAAGCCTGTGTGTCTTATTCTAAGGAACAAAGTGAAAAATAAGCACTCTCCTTACAAAAGCAAGAGCAAAGCGTCAAGGAGTTTGAAGGAAATGAGTATCATTTTTTTTAAATGTACAAGATTTGCATTGTGTATCATAAGTAAATATGGTTCTTCATAGCCTTCTGCTGGGAAATCTTTAGCTGCACAGAGTTTATTCTATGATTAAATATTTCAAATTAAGATTCAGACTCCAGATGTAAAAAAATTCCATATGTATCAATTCATTATGGCTTTGACTGTCACCATTGCATCCTTAGTCTTTTAAGGATTAGTCATCAGAGGCCCAACTGGCCAATAACAATACTCTGTTTTATAAGACTGAGTAACAAAATTTCCAATTAGATTTCCAGGGTATCATACAGTTTGGAGTTCACGCACGTACCTGGAAATCTACCTCAGCATCAAATTCCTAATTATGAAAGATCAGTCACTTCGTTAGACTCACTAAGGATGCAGAAGAAATGAGGATCATGTAATAAACAGCTACTTCTGCTTATGATTTGAAAGGCTTTAGCCATCGGAGATCAACTTCAAGTAATCATAATGCCAATGCCTTACCATGCTAGAGAAAAAATAAGCCTTGAACAGACATTTAGTTTCTCCTGGGAGAGTTTCTGATCTCCCAGGAGAAACCACAATTGTACAGATGTTCAGACTTTTTCTCCCAAAATAAAAATGGCTGCTCCAGTAGAAAAATAACCTGGGCACAACCAGGGTTAAATCACTTCCTGGAGAGTTTCTCCTGGGAGAGCAAATGTCTGTACATGATGACAACACAGGCTGACCATGATCCATCTGGGTTAGCCAATCAGGGCTTTCCTATGCACTGCTCTGATATGTTGCAATGCAGACTAAGGCAGCCTGCAGAGCATGCTAAGATGTGTGCACAGCTCTGCTGCTCCCCTCTTCCCCCCGCCCCTCCCCCCTGGCTGCACAGTGTCAGCACTGCAAGCTCTTCACTATTCACTATTCAAGACCTCAGCATTTGAATGTCTGTACATCTGACTCTGGGTAAGCCTTACTACTATGAGAACAAACCAGGGAGAATTCTTCTAAATTAGTTTAATGTGTGTATGCAGCCATAATCTTAATCACTATAATATTTACAAGAGCATCGCGGAAGCAGTACAGGCAACCCCAAGGTTACACTACTATTAAGAAAAATTTTTTAAATTCTATTGTCTTTTTTTAAGTAGGTTTCAATGGTCTTTAAGTTTCAGTACATTATCAAACAACTGAAAAGCAATGCTTTGCGAGCAGGCCAAAAATTTCTTTACAATCTATTTTGATTTAATATCAATATAGGCATTTATTATTTAAAACTATATGTAAGCTTCATATATGTAAGTTTTCCATCATACTTTACCTAAAGTATAAGCACAAAAGGTGGCAAAAGCACTAAACAGCCACACCCATGTTGGAATACTCCCAGGACTGGTACCTGAAAGAAACTGGAGGTGAGAGGTGGGAATAACAGAGGTTATAAATAAAGAAATCTACCTAAAAGGTGCGCATGTGCGAGCTATGACTAATAAGTTTATTAGATAAATAAAATTAAAGCAAGAAAATTTTGTGAACTGAAAACAACAGGCACTTTCAGTGATCCATATTAGTTACACCTAATTGATTTCAATCAGATAGTGCTTAGAGGGGCAAACTATTTACAGGTACATTCACATTTTTAATATCAAAAGCAACATATAGCACATTTTTGCATCTTAAGTGACTATATAATTGCATGAGATAATAGTGATAACAAGCAAAATTCTTCATTCATGTCCTGTGCAGACTAACTCATAACTAATAACTCTGAAAACTAATTACTGTAATAACTAGAAAAACTAATTGGTTATTATTTGTGCAGCACTCTGAATCCATAGAATATTGCATAATTTAAAAAATTATTTTAATAACATTCATGTTAGTTTTGTACATTAGTTTCCTTTTATTTTTGGAAACCAATAGACTGGAAATGAACCTGAAAAAAGACAAAATGTGAATTGGATAGAAGCACAAAAATGATTGCAAAACTACTGCATTTTTATCTTTGCCTACTTAGAGAAATAGGTCACTGCCCCCAAGAGCTTGCAAACTAATGAGGCAGTAGCATAGGGGTGAGCAATTATTTTGTCTGGAGGGCCACTTAATGAGTTTGGTAAACTGTTGAGGGCCCTAAAGGTAGTCCCACCTTTTGACAGGTGCCCCGCGCCCTGGTCATCATTTTGGGACTGGAAATCCTATCCCTGACCCCTGACCTTTGCCACCAGAAGTCTAATCCCTTGCCCCCAGAAGTACTCCTTTTGGGAGGGTTGCCATCTGAACAAGAAAAAAAATCATATACTAAAAGTCAAACATTAATGTATTTTAACGTTATTGCAAAAAATAAGAGCCCTTGTTGGCGGGGGCGGGGAGGGGAGCAGTTCCCATCACTGCACACACCCCGTCCCGCACCCAACCCCAGTTGTACAGGGCCTGCCCATGCCGCAGCTTCAGCCCCACTCCTTTCCTCACTGCTGTGGGGGGGTGGGGGTGGGGCAGATCGAGGCCCCAGTGGTGAGGGAAGGAGTGGGGCACAGGCAGGAGGAAAGCCTAGGGTGAGTGGGGCCCCAGCTGGGCCAGGCCTGATGGTAGGACAAGTGGAGCCTGGGTAGACCATTCAGCGGCACGGGGGGAGGTGGGGGGCTCCTGCCACTGTGCACACCCCAGAAGAAGTCTGGGGGGCATGTGTCCCTCATCTGTGCACAGAACAAAGGCGTGCTGCACTTTGCTCCCTGCTGCAGCTGCCCCAAGAGAAGCGCGATGCCACGTGCCTGCTGTCACTGGGCTAAGCTGCACCGCCTACCCTCCCGGTGGTGGGATGCACATGGCATTGTGTGGGTTTTGGGGCAGTGGGGCTCAAAGACCAGCACGCAGCGGCAGCTGCCTCCACCCTGCATGCAGATTGGGGTGGGGGATGGGACATGCCCCCCAGGCCTCCATTTGTCCCACCACCCGGCCCGACTGGAGCCCCACTCACCCCAGCCCCTGCTCCTGCCTGTGCCCTGCTCCCTCCCTCACCGGTGGGGCCTTGATCTTCCTCCCCATGGCCCTTTCCCTTCCTCCTACCCTTCCCACACAGACTTACCTGCTGGGGGGGAGGGATGCACACATGCACCCACATAATTTTTTCTTCTTTTGCCTATGCAAGGGGGAGCTGCTGGAGGCTGAGGAAGCCGAGCAGGTCCCCTGGCAGCTGCAGCAGTGGCAACAGCAGTCCCGCCCAGAAGCTGCGTGTTTTCCAGGCTGGGCCCTTGTGCGCACCAGGATGGGAGTGAGGCACATGGGCTGGGTGGGATACAATTAATTGGTGGGTGCCTGCAGGCCAGATGGAATTCCCTGGTTGGGTCAGATCTGGCCCGTCGGCCATATTTTGCCTGCCCCTGCAGTAGCAACATTCAACCCTTACATGTGCAAACATTTTTCACAGGTTTTCTACATTCTGTGTGGGATACTGCAGACACATATATATATGTCCTTGATGGAATGAGATGCCAAAATCTAAAGCAATACTACTAAAGACATTTTATTCAAGTTTAATGTCTGCTCTTTGAAAGCAAAGATGTCTCTTTGTGATCCTTAGCTGCAAATTTTCAGCATCCCAGCTAACTGAATCAGCTATGCTTATGTATGAAGTTGATATACAAAAGATTAGTAATGACTTTTTCTATCAAGGAGAAATGTAACATTAGGAGTAGGTCTGAAAGCTACAGATATGAGTCCAAATATATGCTCACTTAAATCATGGTTACAAATATATTCAAATTCAGTGGGGCACCACAGTGTAGGAATCAGGGTAAAATTGGCCAAAAAAAAGTGTGTGTTGAATATTCAAGCAATGCTTTTAGCATTTATCAACAATTCATTACTGTATATCTAATAATGAAGTGAATGATCACCAAGGTGAGACTAAATTGACATTGGATTTGCCCAGTCTGGATATATAATGCCTGTTCAGCTCCTCCTTGTATATAGACTGACAGCAGGCAGAACTGTTTTGATCAATATATAGCAAATGACCTTCAGAAACAGCCTCATTAAATATATCAAAGGAATGAAAAAGTAAAAATATCTCAAGAGGCAAACATTGTTTTTTTCCAGATTATCCAGTTTATAAAAAGAAAGGATTTTGCTGTGTGAATCACCTGAGAGAGATCTGGGTAGTTATTCCTCCTACATAAAGATGAGGGGGGAACAACCCAATGCCTAAGATGGGGAAGAAGCCCAGGTTTAAGAGTATTCAGTTCCAATAGGCTTTTGATCTGACCTATAATCAAAATAAGTCTAGATTCATACTTTAGAAAAAAGCAGATCTAAGGAAAGTAGTTTAGAACCCATTTTTGTTTGGTATTTGGCCAAAATACTTGAATCTGGAGACCAAAAACATGTTTATATCAGTAAAGATAATAGATACTTATTTGGACGCAGAAGATTGGAAAGTAAGGCAGGAAAATAATTTTTCAGGGCCTGAGGGTTTTTTTTCATGATTTATTTTACTTAAGAACTGATTATGGTATCAGAATCCTGTCATACTTCCTGAAGTCAATGGTAGTCTTTAGCAGAAACAGGATCAAGCTTACATAGCAAGGTTAAACTTAATGCTCTTCAGCAAACATTTTCAACCAATGGCCCTGACCTATAACAAAATATGTAATGACAGACCCCTGCATCCACCCACACCTCTACTGAAATCAAGGGGGCTTTGCACTGGTGGGGGAAGATGGGAGAGAGGTATCTGCCACCACACATGTAGAATGTGGCTTGAGTAGCTTCATGAGTCTAAAAAAAAGGATTATTACCTGATGCCGTGTAGTCCCAGTCATAAAAAGATAACAGAAAATAATTAATTAAAAGCATCACAAATCCAGAGAAGGTTAACAAGTTAGGAGCAACCCACTGAGGCACTATCTGTAAAAATATTTAAAATAAAGGAAAAATCAGATTTGACATTAAGAATCCATTTTTGTAACCTACCATTTTATAATCTTTAAAGATAAGGCAACGTATGTGTTGTCCATAAATCAAGAGTTTAATACCCAGCAGGTATTTCATATTTTTAAGGAGTTCTCAATTTTATATAGCTTTAACTTCTAAAACAAATGCATAAACATCTTTCCTTAAATACAGTACTGTCTCCTACCCTAAATATTGAACCATTTTTATAAATAGTGTAGCTTTAAAATGGCAGATTTCATATCTTATTCACACATAAATATAGTCCTTATTCTTCCTCACTCCATGGAAAAGTTTATCATGTTTCTATACAGAAGAAATGCAAGAAGACTGCAGCACCACAGTGTGGTATCCAAGCAGCATTTAGCATCCAGGCAGCATTGTGACAGTCTTGGAAAGTACTCTCTAACTTGATAGACCCACAAAACTGTAGAACTTCAGAGGGGATGCATCTATAATTAGACCAATAAAAAATGAAAGAAAGAAAATGAGATGCCCAATGAAAAAGCCTACCAGGTAGTCCATTCTCATCTACTCATTCTAGGCCCTACAATTCTCAGATCTTCACAAAGCAGCTGTTTCCAGGTTCAGCTTCTCCTTCAACTTTTCCTAAGTGTTTCTCAGCTTAACATATCAAATTTTCTTTATTATTTTTTGCTAGAACACATTTCCAGAGAAAGGATTTTTAATGGTTAACCACAGCTGTGACTGTCACACTGTAACTATGGTCAGTGGTAGTAAGTTAATGCCACATGTGCATGGCAGGAGTTGTAATTTTTGGGATGAGGAATAAAATTTCACAGATTCCAATCATGCAACTGCTGGTGCAGGGAGTCAGTATCAAGGACAGGTCCCTAACGGCAAGCTTCCTGCAGCATGTGTGGAGCCTGAAATCATGACTCCAGGCTTCACATATACTAGCAATTTGAAACCATGCGTGGTATAGCCCTGCATGGGCTGCCTGCTCTGCAGGCTTGCAGGTTTACAGGTTCTAGGTAGGGGAATTTGATGGGCTCCTCACTCCTGGCAAGTTTAAACCTGCACATAAGGAAGCAGTGCAAGGGCTGCCCAGTGCGCAAGCTTACAGGTGCCAGGAGTGGAAAGCTCACTAAATGTAGTGATTTATCATAGGATTAACATGTTAATCGAACATTAATGTCTACAAGTGGTTCATGTGCATAAAAAGCGCTGGAGGCTTTATAAGTGAACTGTGTGACATGTTTGAGGAATGGAAGCACTTATAAAGAAGAACCTCATCAATATCAAACATAACTAAACAATCCAAGTTTAATTTCCAAAAAGGATGCCATCAATAAAATAACAAAGTAAACTTGAAAAACACTTAATTCTTTCTTTAAATTGTGTTAAGATAGTTTTTACCTACAAATAAAGTAAATTTGAAATTAAATTTGGGACTGAGTTCTCTATTAGTTGCATTGGTTTTACATGTACCTTTTCATAGTTTGGAAATGTTCTTCTCTGCCATTTTATTACGTAAACGATCCATATATAAACCAGGACTAGCAGATTAACACTTTCTGATTAGGACATCTAATGCTATTACAATACAAAAAATTTGTAAAACATTGTGAAACTGCCAGTGTACTGGGGATCTGGACTTAATGGGACTCTTCCAGTCCTATGTTCCTAAAAAAAACCCTGAAAATAGGGAAATTTCCTAATCATTTTAATTTATTGTCTCTTAGCAATTTATTTTAACAACAGTAACTAAAAATCATTGTACTATGATTTTTAAATATGATTTTATTTTTACTTGTGTCAGATTGGTCGAGTCATTTAAAAGCATTACATAAACGATATGATATGAAATGCAGTCCTGCATACAGGACTGCAATTATGACAAAATACTTTTATAAATCTTTATTTTCCTCAAGGTTTCCTAAGGAAAACATACACAAAGAATGCTTCCATTTCTCTTACCCATCTTATAACATTGATCTCAAACTCAGCATGCTGAGCAACATTTGCAATACTGTACTCTTCTACCTTTTTATATCAAGTACTTGCTTCCAAGCAGAAAAGGTATGTGTGACACGAGTAGGACTAGGTAAGGATAAGACAAACTATGAAGATCTACCTGATGCACATGTTCTTATGCAAGTTAGGACACTTGCTGATGAAGAGAAGCATGTGGTCAAGGCTCTGATCCTTTCCTTCTATTTTTATGTGTAACAGTGGCCTTTAATTAGGGACAAGAAGCTAGAAGAGAGTAATTGTGGGGCAGGAAACCTTGGAGAGACAGATTATAACTCAGACTGGGCCAGCATCAGGAGGCCTTGTGATGAACAGGGCAGACAAAAGCACCTGGGTTGTAATTCCAGCCATCTGAGTACTGCCTCTGATACTGATGATTAACACTAAAGGCATGGCAGATGAAGTGGGGAGGTCACCATTAGGCCTCGGTTGGAAGCTAGGTGGCAGAAGACCACCTGTGAGACAACCAGGCCTGTCACAAAGGGGATGGGGAACTTATTTATTCCATTCCATAATATGATGGGGACAAAAAATTATTTTCCTAAATTTGCAACCTAGCAAGAGTTAATTATATAAAAATTATTGCTCTTGCAACTCATCTTCTCTTTTTTTTTCATAAAGTGAAATCACAGTGCTCATTTTATGACACCTCGATCATTTTATGTGACTATACTGTGTCCATAAACACAATGTTACTGTTGGATTAAGCATAAATAGTATCCTAGTCATAAAACAAAAGTATGGAAAGATTAGAAAAATTTCTGACCAACTACATCCATTTTCTTTTTAATTGATTATATCTAATCTCAAGTTTGCTCAAGTATATTTTCCTTTCGTATACACAGAAGATGCCATTAGTTTCTTGAATCTCAAGAAAGTACAGATTTATGTAAGAGATGATTGCTAGTATTCTCCAGTTAACCAAATGGTAAGTCGTACTTAAAAATATCTGCACATCCTATTGCACCCAAGAGATAGCACCCTCTTTTTTTTTTAATGAGGATGGAAACAGCTTTCATTTTCAGTCTTAGAGAAATGCCCAATGCTCCAAGATCAAGTGCCTTTGCAAGAATTTTAGACTGCATTGAGATAAAGAGTAATCTAGGCAGCATAAGTTGTAGGAAAAATAAACTGTACTAAGGATAACTTCCTATGTCACAAAGCTGTGTAATGAAGGATATTAAAAAAAAAGTCTTCACTTCTGTATAATGATGAGGACAAGCTATGTACAACTCTGGTGAGAAGGTATGTATACACATATAATATAATGTAAAAAAAAAGTGCCTTGAATTATCTCCATCTCAAATATAGCTATCTATTCCATGACATTTTTTTTTCTCATTCATATATTTAATTTCAGCTCTAAAATCATCATTTGATATATAAAATTATATATAGCTTCTGTACCTTAACACAAACTTTTACTTTTGAATGTCATGTTTGTAAACAAGAAGACTCTTACCTTTACAATTTGGTCCCACATAGGCTGCATAACATGTACTGACAAAGGGTTTGTATCCACAGCACTGTACTGTAAGAGTGGGGCAAAACAAATGTTAAAATATACGACATTGAAAAATTGTTTCTGCACGAAGCTATACCTTTTGGACTCTTAAAGCAGATCAACTTAGATTAGCCTGAATGTTTACTCTGCCACAAATAACATTTAAATTTAATTGAAAAGTGCTAACCTTATAGTAATGCCAGTAACACAATAAATATTTCTCTCTCTTGATTTCTCAAAGAAATAGAGACCAGTTCTATAACAATATTATGCATGGAATAATCACTGTTCTCAGTGTTGGCAAATGACAGAACAAGGAGCAATGGTCTCAAGTTGCAGCAAGGGAAACTCAGGTTAGATATTAGGAAAAACTTTCTCATGAGAAGGGTAGTAAAGCACTGGAACTGGTTACCCAGAGAGGTTATGGACTCTCCATCTTTGGAGTTTTTTAAGATACAGATAGACAGTGCCTTGGCTGAGATGATATAGCTGGGGATGGTCCTGCTTTGAGCAAGGGGTTGGACTAGATGAATCCCTGAGGTCCCTTCCATCCCTAACTTTCTATGATTCTGTCAATTCTTTGTATATTTTCTATGATATCCTTTTAAATACTGTATTGTATCTCTCTCTGGTTAAATTGTCTTCAATTGCATCCTCTGAAATGGGTGTTTTCTGTACATACTGCTAGAACGTAGACTATCTAGCTCACCTGAATGATAACTAGAACACTATTTTCCTTTACATGTTAGAAACTAGTCTTATTGCAGCTCTTGTATCAAAGTGATCATAGTTCCGCTATTCTAATTGTTGCAAGGTAATTTCACTGCAAGAATCTTGGCACGTGATAAAGTTATGATAAGGCAATAGGGGCCAACCTTTTTAGCAGGCATGTCACAAATTAGCCTCATACCCTCCCTGTATGCTACTGTGATCCCCCTCTCTGCTGTGATCTCCCCAATCCCCAGTCTGTTCCCCTGCTTTCTGTCTCCTGCCATATCTCCTGGGCTAAGTACAGACATTCACGAGGTTACGTTGGATTCAAAATGGCTGCCTGATTTAAACTTAGCTAGTTCCGGTGCCAACCTTACATTTACACATCTAATTTCAGTGAGCGGCAGTCAGTCTAAACCCATGACTGTACAGAAGTTCCATGCATATGAACAGGTCTAAAAATCACAGAACCCAGTTTAAGATAAACCTGGATAGAGGTGGAGGTTCACTGGGGGGGAACCCCACCCCACCTGCAAGTCATGCCTCCCCCCCACCCTTGTCGGTCATACCTGCTCCCTCCTACCCCACCTGTGGGTTGTGCCTGTTCCCCCATCCCCCAGCAGAACCTCGATCCCCTCCAGCTTGCTGGACCCCCAACCCCCCTGCCTACCCCCCCCCCCCATCCTGAATTACCTGATATCAGGCAGCCATTTTGAATTGGTTTAACCTCCCCCTAATGCCCCCAAATGTCTGTACTTAGCCCTGCCATTCTGCCTGTCCCCTCCCTGATCTGCTGTGTACCATACAGGCTACCTGTGCTATTTGTGGTACTAGAGCCCTGAGAGAATATAAAATATCTGAACAACTAAGAATCTAGGTAACAATGAAGTATTCTACAGTTTTGTTGTTTTTTCTCTTTCCTTCATCCCCATTCCAAGCCTAATTAACTTTCATTTAGGAAGGACAAAAATACAAATAACAGAGGTACAACTTTGTTCTTTCTATGTACCCACCAAACCTAAAGGGACCTACAAATAAATGAGGCTCTACATCTGCATTCCAGCAGTACAAAGGGTATGTCTATGAGACACCCCCACTGGAGTACATGTTTGCAGGCACACCTTGCTCCTGCTTCCATGTGCCAAGCATGGAAATGCAGCAGCAAAGCTGCTTGAGAGGCCTCTATGGCTGCTCCATAGTTAGGGACCTATTTAATTCATGGTTTCAAGGAAACCACAAAATCCAGGATTTTCCACAAAATCAACAACAAAAAACCGTAATAAAAATAAAATGCTGGCTCCCCAGTAGGGGCAGGCACTGGGTGGCAGGAAAGCATAAAGGACAGTAGATAAGATGATGGCTGCCACCTCGACCCTCCTTCCCCTGCCAGGGCCTCTGCACCAATCAGGACCAAGGAGTGGGGGCAGCACAGAGGGCAGCCAGCAATCAAGGTGATTCATCCCTCTTCCCCCTGGGCCTTTCTGCCAGACAGCACCAAGGGGTGAGGCTGCCATGAAATGCCCATGAAATCAGCTCTCCACACTGTACATGGGCCATGAAAAACCTTTGTCTCACTGAATTTAAGTAGGTCCCTATCTATAGTATGCTACAGATTAAGTAGGTCCCTATCTATAGTACCTTGAGCCTTGATGTGGAGGTGATGCCCTGCGCTGATGGTTGGGCATGTGGTGGAGCACCCCTTCCAGGATATACCACGAATGCTATGTAGATATACTATAGTATTAGTGGGTTAACTTTTTTGGTTACCATTTTACAAACATATAGTAAGAAGCAATCTCTGGCCCAGAGAGTTATAAACTAAGTAACACAAAAGAAGATGCTTGTGACCTAATGGGAACATCACTATTATAATTTAGTTAACTATGAAAAAAGTGACATGAAAAGAAGATAGTGTTTCTACAAAGGAGGATGCTTATTGTAAAAGTGACAAAAGAATACAAGTATAGCTAGGGCTGAAGCAGACTTTGAGAGTGTGCTCTTTCAAGCAGAGCTTTGTGCAATATAACTCTTTTTTTCTTATCCCTCTGACAAGTCCATGAGTACATAATTCTGCTCCTGCTTTTAGTAGAATCAATAACTATACAGGATTCATAAAATACATGATCTAATCTTTAGTAAAATCAATAAATGTTTTCTTTATTGAAATCCAAAATTGAAATGCATATACTGCTATTTCTTTACATTATTCCCATTTTACAGCCTTAAATTGCTGAAGTGGATTTGTGTGTTCTTGCTTGTTGTTGTTGTTCTTAACTGATAACATTGAAATCTTGCTTGGGGAGAATTTTCCCTGAAATTGCTCAATTTTTGTTAGAAAGTCAAGTCAAGGGCTTTGTTACTATGCTTGTTTTGCAACCAATATAAACTAGGACACAAAACTGTTAAGCAAACAGCCTGTCCATATTTACAACCAACACTGCTTTCTAATACAGTACAGAGCTTCAACAGGTCAGGAAAGCTAAAATAATTTTATCCTCTTCTATTTGGATTTGCAGTTTGAACTATATGGGATTTGTGCCAGTAACTAAGCCCAAGAGATTTAGGTAAGTTTTTGCTACTTCAGACACTACTGGCAGCCTCAAAACCACTTTGCAACTGTTGCCTAATCCTACAGGCACCTACACTTCTTTGCAGGTTTACCTACACAGAGCTACTTAAGTCCAGATCCCCCCATAGTACCTGAGTTGGAGTCCTAACTCAAGTCAATGCTATAGAACTGGGATCTTCAAAATTCCTTACTTATCCTGGTTGACGAGAACCTGCTTGGAGCAGGCACAGCAAATCGCAACACTGCAACAGTGTTTTTAATTCTGCTCTATCTAACTAAGCACTGCTCTTTACCGCTACACTTTGCTTCTGCTTAGGTCAGCTGATTTCTAAGGATTACTTTCCTTAGGTGCCAAACTGTAGAAACTTGAGTTCCCCAACTGGGCACTTCAGGGTTACTCCAGACATCAATTTGGTCACTTGGATGAACTGCAGGCTTTTGAAGAGAACTCAGAAAAATGTGAAGAATTAAAATGGAAAACTGACATTTCTTCTTTGAATAATTCCAGCCTCACTCTCATTCACATGTACACACAGTAAATGGTGTTCGAAAAGGTATGCAAATATTCTTCCATCATGGTAGCAAAAATACAGCTGGCTTAGCTGTATATCAGATCTTATTTGTTATATTCTGCTCCAAAGAAAATATTCACACCCTTCAAGTCTCCAGGGATTTATTGTTCCTGATTCTTTAGAAAATTAGTGGGTGCATCTACAAGTGCAATTAATGCAAGTGAATAAACTCCAGTGCAATGTGAGCGTGAGTATACTAATTCAGATGTTATCATTTAATGTGCATTTAAGCGCAGTAATTTACTATGCCATCAACAGTACTTGTGTCTGACGGGACTATTTGATGGCACATTAAATTAGTACTGGCCCAATTGCCATGTATGTGTAAATAGTGACACTTTACTCTGCAGTAAATTAGTCTACTGTGCAGTACAGTGCATGTGCAGACACACCCAGTTAGTAGAACAGAGGTACCCAAATTATGGTCTCTATTTCTTGATCGGACATTAGGGTGCTACTCAGTCTTCTGAAATAAATGTGCCTGCCATTTACTGTGCAGTAGTCCCACAATTTTCATGCTGCTTCAACAACAAAGAAAGGCATCTAAGTTAAAGATCAGGAATTGTTTGAAGACATGATTGTCCTAAGTACTCTGCATCCATCTAAGTGTAGCAGGTGCTCAGCACCTTTGAAAGTTAGGCCTTTCATACCTTGAATTCTCTTAAAGTTAGGTAAGGTTTCAAATAAGGAAGGAAAAGCCAAAGAATATTAGTGGTAATGTGACAGGATAAGGGAAAAAGGGAAGGGAACAAGCGTGCATGCATCCTCCCCCTTACCGGAGCTAACACTGAAACCTGCCGATGGTATGGGCTCGCCACTTGAGCCAACAAGAAGCAGGTCCTTTCCCCCTCTGCAACTGGAGGCAGGGGCTGAAGACAGCCCTGCTGGACCACAGCCCGAGCCCACCCAGAGTGGAGGTTGTCTCCTGCCGGGACAAAGGGCAGACTGGTCTGCCTCTGTAACAGGTCTCACTGGAGAGTGGGGGAGGAGCCTCAGTGACAGCACAGTGGGACACGAGGGAAACCCAGGAGTTCTGGTTCTACTCAGGCTTTCCCCAGCTAGCATGTTCCCTTTCACCTGCAGGGGCCAGGAAAATGACCACACTGGAAGTACCCAGGCCTGATTCAGCTGGAGCACCACAAAGAGTAAGCACTGAGGACTGGCGAGGGGCAGCA